CGCAGGGGGCGTGCGCCCCGGCTCGCCGCACCCGCCTCGCGGGAGAACTTCCTCAGAGACGGCAAGGCAGGGGCGCCACGGGCAGCCAGGCTGCGGGCCCCGCGCGCCCCGCTTACCTGGACGCGGCACTTCCAGCTTGGCCCCGCGTCCGACGCTGCCCCCGGGGCCAGCTCAGCTAGCGCACAGGCGGCAGCGCAGCCTGCGCGCCTTTTGAATGAATCGCCGGCCGGGCCGGGAGGCGCGCAGCCCCGCCCCTCGCGTCACAGCTGCCCGCCCCGCCCCCTACGTCAGAGTCCCGGCTCTCGTCCCCGAGCCCTCCGCCTGGGGCCGCGCGGGGCCTCGCTCTCCGGACGCGCCAGGCCGCTTCGGTCGCCACCTGTCGAGCCCCGCGGGAACTGCAGAGCTGCGCCGTAGCCGCGAGCGCGGCTCGGGGCGCGTCTCGGATGGGCCCCTTCAGAGCGCTACACCGCGAAAGCAGTTGCACAGTGCAGTGTAAAGAGACACGCGAGTCTTGCTGGGCTCAGTGGCTCACGCCTGTTATCCCAGCGATTCGCAAGGCTGAAGTAACAGGATCGCAGAGGTAAGAATCACGAGCCCAGTCTGGACAACTTAGCGAGATTCTGTCTCAAAATTTTACAAAGGGCAGGGGATATAGCCCAGTGGTCCCAGAGCCTCTGGATTCCATCCTCTGTACTGAATGGGGGTGGGAGAGACTGGAATCTTGGTTATTGCTTGGGTCCTGCCACCTGGAAATGAGTAGCCAGAGAGTAAAACTCCACCTTGCCTTGTCAGACGAGGCTCATCTAACTGGCGAGGAAAAAAAAAGGCCCTGTGAAGGGCGTTTACTATAAAGGAAGCCACCCGTTTGGCTTCTGCACACCCCTCTGGGCCTAGACCAAATCCCCACCCCTCTCTGCTAGGGTAGTTAATCCTTACATCCAGCAAGACAGATGACACACTCCTCTCTCTCCCTTCCACCAACTGTCCTACAGTGCCGGCCATCAGAGTGCCCAGCTGGACAGCGGCTGGAGGCATAAATCGCACAAGCCCAGGCCACTGTTCACATTGTATTCCCAGCTCTGTGACCTGTGCCCCTATCTGAAGGGGTGTGCCAGAGGTAGCAGCTCACCAGTGATTCTCCCCGCCTCAGTACCATTCCCGGAGCTCAGGTGACTCTCCCACAGCTGGAAGAGATTCAGAAAGCAGGGAAGGACTACTGCTGGGGACAGAGACCTGGCTGCAGTCAAGGTAATCACAGCCTGTGGAGGGAGGTGGAGGAGCGTAAATAAGTCTTTTGGGGACAGATGGGCTAGGGTTGGGGTTTTAGACAAACAGTCATAGAATCTGAGCCACATGAGGGACAGGAAAGGTCAGGCTCCCAGGGTCCAGGAAATTCCAGGAGAAGAACTGGACACCTGTGGGGTAGGGCGGTAGGGAAAGTTTCCATTTCCCTGGGCAGACCCAGCTTGTGGGAGAAGGGAACTCCAGGTTACTGCTGTCAGGGTCATGGTCCCCCATTGTCAGTGGGGGCAGCCAGTGGCAGTGTTGGGGATGTGGATTATTCCCGAGTCCCACATCATACTTTATGGAGGAAGCCTTAGGAGGGCCAATACTGGGGCCCAGAGAGGAGGCCAGAGCAGCCCAGGATGCCCTCTATTCCCAGAAATGTTTTCTTGGTAAGAGGACCTTTTATGTCCCATTTTCAAGTTCTGGGGTCAAACAGTGGCATTTCAGACACCACTTAATAAACCAAATGGGGTTATGCTTTTTGGTCAAGGAGCACTGGCAACTAATCCGACATCCTAAAGGAGGTCCAAGCCCATCTCTACTACCACCTGTCTGGGAGCCTTTGATCGAATCCCCCCAACATAGCTCCCCATCTGAACACTGGGGTATCAAAACTTGTTGCCTCAAGGTCATTCTAGTTCTCTGTGGGAGGAGGCTACCTGGCCACACTGGCCCCATAGAGCAGGTCACAGAGCCACAGCCTGCACACTTCCCACCCCCGCACCCCTCGGGTTATGAAGGAACCTAATTATTATTTACTGCTGGCCAGCATGGGCCACATCCTCCTCCCACTGACTCTGATTCCCAAGTCCATGCGAGAAGTGACACCCCTCCCCCAGTGCCTGGGAGCATCTGTGAGGCTATGAAAGGAGGGATCGAGGCCACGGGAGAGATTTAGGCTAGCTTCGCATGGATGGCGGGTTGCGGAGAGCCCTGTGCTCTAGAACAGAGGGCTCGGGCTTTCTAACATCCTGGCATCTCAGGTGAACTCACAAAATCTTCAGACTATCTTGTTGAACCTTACACAGTATAGCTAAGAAACAGCCCGGAGAAGGCCTCCACTGCCACACCTCACTGTAGGGGACATAAGTCCCCAGGAAATTGGGGTGAGCGATGATGGTGACCCAGAGGCAAGGGTCAAGGAGTTAGGTTACTTGTGAGGAATCTCAATGGGTGACTGCTTTGGGGGGAGTGGGGCGCCTCCTGCTGGCTGTATCAGATTCAAAATGGAAAAATAGTCCTCCCTGGTATCCATGGGCTCCAGGATCCCTACAGACACCAAAATTTGTGATACTCAAGTTCCTTATATAAAATGGCATGATTTTGCATGTAACCTATACATATGCTCCCCTAAACTTTAAATCAAGGGCCAGAGATTTAGCTCAGTGGCTCAGCGCCTGCCTGGCAAACATGAGGTCCTGAGTTTGTTTCCTGGT